TGGCGGGTCGCGGCTGCCTGTGGTTGGGGGGGGGGGGGGGGGGGCAGGTATTGATCGTGTAGAGAGCAGTAGGTCTCAGTAAGGGAAGGGTTAACCATGGAGCTGTAAAGTTCTGTATAAATGTCTGTCCCTGTTCTTTCTGACTTAGAAGCACATCCCAACAGGAAACCACTCTCTTTGTCTGCCATTTTTTTTTTTAAGAGATATTTTGTGCTATAGGGCACGTGTGCTCGCTGGGACAGACACAGAGAGGCAGGAAGCAAGAAATCACCCCCCAGGAGGGATGGCTACAATGCAGTCTCTCGGGGTTCTGGTCATGCACGCACACGTGCCCGCCGTGAGTCCAGCAATGTAACCATTACGCCATCTGTCCTCTTTGGCTTAACCCTGTTCCTGGAGTGGAATATAACTTCTCCGTGTCTCTGCCGCCTCGTCTCCCTGTGGTTTTCTCCACAGCACCAGGAGCTCCTTAAACAGGTGCATTTGTGATGCAGTAAGTTGGCACTGGGTAGAGCTTAGCTGCCCGTCTCCTAGCTGTGGCTCGCTGAGGGCCACGTAATTCCACTAGCTCTGGATTTAAAACTTAAAAGCATTCTTCTCACACAATTTTCTAAATAGTACGGGTAAATAGTTTTATTCCGTCATATATTTTAATCTTAATTATTATTTTTTTCTATATGTTCACTAAGGCTTAAGAACTTTCCGAGAGGTGCCTAGTAGTTGTTGGAAAATCTCGAGTAACCCAACCTTACTTCTCAGTAAGACGCTTTGTCCATTCTGAGAGGAGGGTCGCCTGGCCGACAGGTGCAGGTTGCGTGTTCCAAGCTTCCGGGCGCCTGAGGTGGGGGCAGGAAGTGCTACCCAGCCAGCCTGCATCCTCCATAGTGTTGGGAAGACTCTTGTCAGAGTCCCGGGGGCAGTGTGGGGCCATGAGCGCAGAGCCGGCATGGCTCCCGTACTTGTCACGTTGGCCGCGGGTGCTGCGGTTCCGCGGCCCTGCCAGGGAACGTGCTCCTAACGGGAAGTGACAGCAGTGGCACAGCTAAGTGTCGAGACCGCGATGCCAGCCATGACGACCTGTACTTCCCTCCCAGGGCCAGCCAGCCCATTCTCTGCTGACTCGGGAGGCTCCACAGGTCTTCTGCATCTGTTCAAGACTTGAAAACGCTGCCCTCCTGGAGTGGAGGAGGACTGGGTTAGAAGACGCCATGAGTGAGAGATGGCATGGGAGGGAGGCCGGAGCTCAAGGACAGTGTGTCGGCCTGGTTCTCGGGCTGCCTGCAAGGGACAGCTGCCCTGGCTCTGTGGCCCCCTTCCCTATCAAGGGTGTCCAGCGATGACCAGATAAGAGCAAGTCCTCTCCTCTGGGTGGCTGGACCACTGGCTTCATGTGCCAGGACCCAGATGCACAGCTGCCGTCCTCCTTGGTAGCAAAGGCCCAGCCCTGCACCCTCAGGCACAGTCTCAGCGGACTTCTGAGTGCCAGCTGGGGACTGCTGGTCTCCGAGCACCGGAGCCCGAACCCGCACATGCCCGAGAGTCACCCGCCACCTGGCAACATGCAGAGCTGTGGGTGGGCCTGGACAGTCTACACCCTGTTCCTCGAATAGAGGACTCGATTTTTTGTTTCGTTGTTATCAAGGGGTTCATTTTACTGGGCTCAGACTTCAAATGCTATCTCTTGCTGGCAGCTAACATCTGTTTATTTTATCGTTAGCTGGAGTCTGTTCCATACAGAGAGGAAGAAATTTGGGCAGAGATTATACCCAGGCTTTGGGGTTCCCTTCCCAGGACTCCCCTAATTTTGCAGTGGATGTGTGGCCCTGAATCTGTCCTCATGCTCTTTCTTTTTATCTTAGAAACTTTTTAAAAATCCATGATAGCAAGTATGTGCACCTGAGAGCGAGCACGCACCCTCTGGCAGGGTCTGGTCAAGCGCAGTCCCCTCTCCCCAACTCACAGCCACTCCGGATCCGTGCACCTGGCGTGTTCCGTTCCCCCGGGCCAGGAGCTGTCTGTGGCCAGCCCTGTGGCTTTCAGCGCTGCAGTCCTGCAAGCTGCCCACTGCGCCTCCGGGGCTGGGGCTGTGCTTGGTTCTTGAAGCCAGGTCAGCTGGTTTTCTGCCAGAGTCGTCGTCCCCTTCCTCTTCTGAAGTCCTGCATCGGGGTCTTCCCTTGGGTAAAAGCTGTGAAGCTGCTGTTCTTTACTGCACACCTCGACTCCTTTTCTAAATATGTTTGCTTTTTATTCTCGTGTCTCCAGTGTCTGCAGTGTGTGCAGGAAAAGTATATTTTAAAATCATACATTGAAAGTTGATGATCTCAACAAAATAGATGGATGAGGGGTAAGAGAAAAGACTCGATTTGCGACTTGTTAGAGTTAGGGGACATTTTATATAATAATTAGAACAAAAAAAATATTTTTAAAAATTGATTTCAGAGCCAGCTAGGTGGAACGATGGATCCTACATAACCAGTGACACAGTTCAAATCCCAGACTCAGACACTTGAAAAAACATACCAGCAGGTGTGCATATGTGTCCCCAAAATCCTGAGAAGAAAGTGGAGGAGGGTGAGTGCAACAGCAAGTCCATCCACCCTGGGGGGGGTGTTTTTTCACTTTCTTGCTCTCTCACTCTCCCTCTGTCTAACGAGCACACATGCCTACAACAAAATGCTTTTTAAAAAAATTAATTTCAGATATTTACTGGGAAGCATAATAAAGTAAGTACGGAATTAGTGACTCAAAACAACACACATTTATTATCTCACAGTTCTGCAAATCACAGATCCAAGCGTGGAGGCCAGTGGTAAAACCCAATGTACTGTGATGCAATCCCACATGGCAGGTTTCTGGTTCAAGTCCAGAGACCGCCTTGAATATGCTAGGCACAAGTACTCTGAGACCAGGCATTGGGAGGAACTGTTCCGTCGTGATTTTAACACATTG